AAGTCAGAACTGGCGGTCAGTTTCAGCAGTGGCTGAATCTGGACGCCAGTTCCGACTTACATACAGATTCAACTTAAGAACAAACCTACAGTCCCTATCTTGTACGTAACCCGGGGACTGCCTGTACTGTAACAAAAAAAAATGTGTTTAAAAGAAGATGCTGTTCATTTCCTGAGAAATTAACCACTAATAAACCATCAGTTGTGTAAATACCGGTCAGTTTCAGCAGTGGCTGAATCTGGACGCCAGTTCCGACTTACATACAGATTCAACTTAAGAACAAACCTACAGTCCCTATCTTGTACGTAACCCGGGGACTGCCTGTACTGTAACAAAAAAAAATGTGTTTAAAAGAAGATGCTGTTCATTTCCTGAGAAATTAACCACTAATAAACCATCAGTTGTGTAAATACCAAAAAGAATAATTGTGCAGCCCTCCCTATCCCTAATTGGTTAATGATAACACTGGCCATTGCCTTTTCCTTAAAACAGCTGTAACCCCCCTTTTTCCTCCCCGGGTTACTGGGGAGCAGGTCACACTCACAGGTGTGCCTGGGTGCCTGGTGTTTTAACCCAAAAGAGATCCTGAGCACCCCAGTGGTGATGGTGTTTAGCTTGGGAAAGCCCTAGCCACCCCCTTGCTGCAATCCCTTGCTGGCAATGAATGTAAAGTGGCGGTGCCTCCACCTGGCTGGCCTTGTACACACACTGGTGTGCCTTGAGAGCCTCCAGGAATATACTCATTCCAACATAAAGCTGGATCTAATTCCAGAACAACTACAAATCATATACATCTAATAGAATACTTTAAAATAAACCATCTTTACTTAACTAAACAGGGATTAACAGATTAGCAAGGAATAGCATTAACAAAACACATAACAATAACTGAAGCTTATATAGCTAGACAACAGTTACTCCACCCCAGAGTGTGCACACCCCTAGACTCACGCACTGATGTTGCGGCTGTAGTGAGGATTTGGTCCAGGCTAAACAGCAGCTCTGTCCCAGGCAGCACTCTTCCAGCAAGGCCCAAACTTACTGCCTCATGCTGTGCCTATAGGAAGCAGCCTGCTAACTCCCAGTTCCAACAGGTATGAAGTAGCTGCACTTCAACAGCCCCTGCACTGGGTCAATGTCCTTGGCAGCAGCCTGGCTCCCCCTTTGGTTCCAAACTGCAAGGCAGAGTCCCAGACTGCTAGGCCTCTTCTTCAAGCACATGGAGAGAGCCTCCTCTCTCTCACAAGAGTCCCTCTTACCTCTTTTGTTCCAAGGGCTCATGGGAATTGTAGTCTGGATTGTAGCACACAGGGTCTTTTTAGAATAAAACAGAGGTCCCTTTAGTAAGGGGACTACACAGCTAATGATGGAACCTGCCCTTTCAGTTCTGTCCTGTGCAGTTCACAGGACTGAAATCAGAATACAAACACACAGGTGACATACTTAACCACCTGCTTAAAGTTAAGCATTGGATCTGCAAGTGTAGAGCAGCAGGAGCAGGCAAAAAGTCCATCAGGTCGGTCTTCTCTAGCCTATATATTTAAAAAACTTTGTGCTTTGGCAGATAATGGAGATAGTTGCAAATATTTGCACAAATTCTATTATTTTGTAATTGCTAAGTCTTTGTGATCTTAACTGGATTTTGTCAAATACATGATTATTTTTAAAATTGATCAAATTCATCTTAAGGGTAAAAATATTTTCTCAGAAACAGAGATGATCAACAATCTGAAATGCATTGTGCATACCTGGGTTGCTTGTATGTTGATAACTTTGTAAGATAACTCTTCAGGTCTGGTCAGTGCTGCATATCTGGTTTTGAAAGTATAAAAAAGTGTACTTAATCTCATGTATAATAGATAAGGGAATGAAGGAAGAAAAATCTGGTTGGTTATGAATTTACTGAACATCGGTCTTCGTATAGCAACCACTGCATATCTTTGATTCCTGTGTTAACTATGGAGAGATGCTTGCGTTTCTCTAGTACAAAACATATCTAGTTATCTTTAACTTTAACTAATTAGACAATCGAATGCAGTCTTCCTCTTTCTGTCCCCCTCCCCCAGCAAACAGATCTTTTATCAAAGAGATTAGGATGATTACAGCTGAGAGACTGTATTGATTGAATTGTCATTAAGGATATCTTGTGAAATGTTTATTTGCCCAAAAGGAACTGGAGGGGATTGGTAATGGAATATAAAGTATTTTGCTTCAGCCACAGGTTCAAATCCTATCAGGTCACTAGTGACCAAAAGTCATTACCATCCAATGGGGAATTTGAGGCCTTAGGCACTTAGGCTACATCTACATTGCAGTGCTATTTCGGGATACCAGAGGTATCCCAAAATAGCTATTCTGCGTCTTTTGAGCGTGCCCGTTATTTCGAAATATAACGTGCTTGCTACTCCAATGTCCCTGTAAACAGCTCTCCATGTGGAGTAAGGGATGTTTCGTAATAGCAATTTATTTTGAAATAAGAGCTATTTAGACAGCACCAAATTTGGAGATAAGCTATTTTGAAATTGACTCGAAATAAGCTATGCAATTTGCGTAGCTCACACTGCGTAGCTTATTTTGAGCTATGGGTGCAGTATAGATGCATCCTTATAGTGGAGAAGAGGAAAAAAACAAAAACAAACCCCCACCCATGCTAACTGAATTCCTGGTTGGTAACTTCAAAAAAGGCCAAGGTGTGAATATTCCAGAAAGACTGAACGCTTCTCTTGTACTTGGAGAGGATGCACCAAGGTCAGGACTGAGCCACAATGGAAAGCTTGCCCTGTGCTATCCCTACTGTGTGGAGAAAGGGCTTCAGGCTCCAGAACTGTCAATGCTGTTTCTTTCCTGAGTACCAAAACCACACACAGAAAATTGCATTGGAACTAAGCATACTCTTCCTCCTCATCTGTTGTGAATAGGTTTAATCGGAATCCTGGCTCACTGCCATTGGGTTTCTTGATCTCCAGGCCTCCCATTAATCTAGCCAAAAAGTTCAGTTCTTCTTTAGCAAGGGGGTTGGGGGCTGCATTTTCCTGCAGAAAACAATACTGGTGTTATTGGATGGAACAAACATGAAAAGAAGGACTATACTTGTTTTGCTGGTTCCTGGTACTCTAAAGGTCAACATTTTTTTCAATTATATTATTATTAAACATTTTATTTTAAAGTAGCAATATTGCAGCTGACCGTTGTTTAAGACAAAATAATTCCTGGCTAAACTAAACAGCTGAGAAATCCGTAAAACCAACTTCCTATGGGTCAAACAACTGGTTAGGGAAAACAATAATAACGATTTTAGCATGCATAAAGATCAGGGCAGAGAATAATAGAGGAAAACATTATAAAACCATGGTGTAAGCCTCTGGTATCCTCCTCTAATATGCTTTGGTCACCTCATGGCATCAAGGATACTACAAAATTCTAGGGGGGTTGAGAGAAGGCTGACAACGTACATGCCTGAAAAATTTCTCCTATACACAGAGTTTAAAGAGACTGGTATTGTTTAGCTGAGAAAAGGAGAAGAATAGGAGAGGATGTGAAAAAAGTATATAAAGTAATAAATGGGTTTAGAAAAGGAAGGTTGGTAGTTTCTGTTCTTCATGTTTCATAAAAGAATAAGCGGAGATGGAATAAAACTAAAAAGGTGGCAAATCTAAAACTGATATGTTTTCTCTTAATGTGTAATTAGACCAAAATACTTTTTGCCACAGGATACCACTAAGGTCAAGAACTTAGCAAAACATAAAGGAGATAGAAGGACATCCGACCTTTGTGTGAGATGCCAAATTCTTGGATGCTCCTGACATGTGTGTCTCTACTGGTCGACTAACACTGTACCTAGAGAGAAACACAAAAGAGTTACTGCATGAATGGAAAAACAGTCCATTCCTGGGCACAGGGTAGAAGCCAAAAAGATTTTTCTCTGTCTTCATCGGATCCATATATGTTTTCTGGATGATAAAATTATATCCGTATATTCTTTTATGGTGGCAGCAAATAGTTGGAATGAGGAGTTCTAATTCAGTTTTCTGACATACTCAGTGTGCTAAATGCTTGAATGAAGAAAAGTACAAATGGGCAAAAAGTAATCCTAACTTTTCGTTCCTGAATGGCAAAATTACGTACGTAAATATATGTAATCAAAAGTATTCCCCGAATGCAACCTAAGTGACACTTACATGCTACTCACAGAGCAAGTAGTACTAAGCTAGACCTACTCATTTCTCAATTGTGCTGTGGATGTGTTGATTTTGTTATTTCTTTTCCAGGGAAATTTTTACATATTCTTACATAGTTACTGCTAGTTGTGGTGTTCTCCTCCCAGGAGGAGATCACTAAACTAAAGGGCTGTGTCTAGACTGGCATGATTTTCTGCAAATGCTTTTAACGGAGAAGTTTTTCCATTAAAAGCATTTGTGGAAAAAAACGTCTAGATTGGCACGGACACTTTTCCGCAAAAGCACTTTGTGCGGAAAAGAGTCCGTGCCAATCTAGACGCGGTTTTGCGCAAGAAAGCCCCGATCGCCCAAAACAGTTTTTAGCTGTCTACACTGGCCCTCTTGTGCAAAAACATTTCCGGAAAAGGGCTTTTGTCCGAACAGGAACATCAAAGCATTTGCGCAAGAAGCACTGATTTCAGACAGTAGAACGTCAGTGCTTTTGCACAAAATCAAGCGGCCAGTGTAGACAGCTGGCAAGTTTTTGCGCAAAAGCACTTGCTTTTGCGGAAAAACTTGCCAGTCTAGACGCAGCCAAGCTGTCACGTTGATAAAGAGAAGCAGAAGTGGCATAAACAAGCCAATGAGATACAAAGACAGAAAACTTATTTTCCTCAACAAACCAAGAGCAGTTATTTTCAATAAAATCTCCTGGAGGTTTTATTTAAAATGTTCTATGTAGTTTCTATGCAGGATGGTTTACTTACATGTTTGTTCCCAGTTTAAGCACTCTGTCTCCATAAAGATCAAATGAACCTTCCCTTTGTGGACTGACATAATTTCCACCAGTGGTGAATTCAACTCGTTTAACTTCATCTCCATTGCAATTAAACATCCTTAAAGGAATACAAATAAATAATTGTTATATCAAGATATTTAGTGGTACTCTTTAAAGCTGACTTGCTCTACTCTTCATTCTGGAGGAGGGGGAATAAAGCTCTCTTCTATGAAATGTTTGATACTACTATAAAAAATGACCAAAGTTATAAAGGTGTAATTGATTGATAAGTCAATTACAATTGATAAATAGTGTAATTTTAAAAGAGTAAAGAAGGGGCAGTTTGCTTGAACAAGAGATTAGAGAGAGAATACTTAGCCTGTCACTGCCAGATCACTTGTTCCAAATCCTGAACTATATAAGTAATTAATACCTAACAGATGGCCAGTGATCTATGCAAAATGAAGGATAGTTTTAGTGCACTTCCCACTGAACAAATATTCTCATTGCAGTTGGTACCAACTGCTCCTTTGTGGGCAGCCATGCACACTGGGGGAGCTGCTTACATAATAAGTAAGGGTCTAGAAATCACCTGATGAGTCCTGGAACTTCTGTTCCCCATGGAACAGGACCGGATATTGGCAGCACAAAGCGACCATTCGAGTTTTGTACCTTATCCTTTAGAAAGATGGAGACCTGCAAAGAAACATGCCACCTACAAAAATACCAGTCAAACGTCTCCTAATGTAAATCACTTGGAGCCTGATCCTGCATAGTAATTCCTGTCAAACTCAAAGGCAGGCTGATATGTAAAAGGACTCTGGGACTGGGCCCACAATAGTCATATTCTAGTTATGGCCCACAGACTGGCAGTATTAATCTTATTGTAGGTTAACCGAGCATACTCAAATAAATAAAACAGAACCCTTTATTTTATTTAAGAATGTTGAATTCTTGCTGTCAGCCCTCAGTTTCTCATGGTTTCTTAGTCAAGCCTCTATTTAAAAAGAAAAATATTTTCTGGTAGCGTTCGTACATAAACAGGTAGCTTTGGAAAAACTTAAAAAACAACAAATAGTCTTGCAGCACCTTAACAACTAACAAAACATGTAGATGGTAATATGAACTTTCGTGGGCACAATCCACTTCTTCTGGGTTGTGCCCACGAAAGTTCATGATACCATCTACATGTTTTGTTAGTCGTTAAGGTGCTGCAAGACTATTTGTTGTTTTTAAAATTTTTCCAGTTACAGACTAACTCGGCTACCCCTCTGAGGTATCTTTGGGTTTGTGAAATCTGCCAGTAATGAAAAATCAAAGTTCAGAAATCAGTCAGTTTATTAGTATTTAAAGAATTGCAGCTAAGTATCGGCAGTAGTTGCTTTTCATGCCATTCCAGTGAATGGGATGTTCATTTAGTAAAATTTATTGGAAACGTTTCTATTGTGTTCAGTTTTTAGAGCTACAGAGAAATCAATCACATCAATGTAAGTTACAAGCCCAAGCCACATAATCACACCTATTTAAAAATAATGTAATGATAACAAAATACCTACATTTTATTGCCACAAAACTAAACACACAGTTTTTCTTATGGGCTAATGCAATGGGACACTTACCCTGATGTGCATGTCCTGAAAGAAAATTAGGAGTGTTTGCCTGATCAGTTGAAATTCACCAGCAGAGAGACAAGTGTACATCTAGAGAACAGAAAAAAAATTATAAGTATAATATTTCTCAGCTGTTCTGTGAATGACCTGTCTCATCTAGTCAAGTGTGGCCACAAAAATGTCAAATCTGTGTTGAAGATAAGAGATCAATAAAGGACAGTGTGGTAAGCAGTCTTTGTCAACAAACCAATTCCAAATTCATTTCCTACTGAAATCAATAGGACTTACACTTTAATGGGAATTGGATAGCCCCTAAATAAATACATAGCTTAAAATGTGTCAATATGAAAACACTGGAATTCTAAACTCAGTCTCAAGAAATGTTTTTAAAACACTTCAGAGTCTTCCTTCACCATTATTTGTTAGTATATATCACTACTAAATTCCCTTTCAAAGAAATTCAATTTTAGAGTAAAAAAAATTCCTTTAACCGGGATAGTTATATTAATGGTTCCAAAGAGATTAGGAAATGTTAGTAACTGCAAACCAAATCTATTTCCCTCAGGTTCCAAGAAGCAGCAGAAAAATTTGTGATATTCCCCAAGGTTGTAAGAGAAGTTCCACATTTAATGAGCTACTCATCTGCATGGTATTGAGCATCTCTAAAATTAGCTGAAAAAAGGGAAAAAACAAACAGCTGGGTGGTCCATGGTTCATCCAATAATTGGGCTCTTACATCAATTAGCTGCCGAAATGTTTCATCCACTTGGTTAAGAATGTTAGGGGCGTCCCGTACAAAATCCTTGATAGCATCCAGATGATTGAAAGTGACTAGCAGTATGTCTTTGGGTCGAGGACAGAGCAGAACTTGGTATTTGAAAGCCATAGTCATAAGGTCATATAGCTGTAAAATAATGAGAAATCTAGTGAGATCTAAAAACCTAGGTTAATCATCATCATCTGGTTTAAATTCCACTGTCAAGTCAAGTTTAATCTGGAAAGGGACTTTAAAAACTCATTACAATTCTCATATGGTAAGAGCTGTGATTTTTTTTTTCTTTTGTAGGTTTTATACATACAAAATTTAACTGTTAACACCTGAATCCAAAGGGTAAAATGTTCACAGAGGCTTCCCACAACCTCCTTAGTTATAGCCACAATTGTTTGCAAGTAGAAATATTCTTTGCAGGCTCACATTCAGGTATATGCACATACAAATTTGAAGGTATGAATCTGAAGGTGCCCAAACAGTAATAAGCAGACACAGTTAAAAGTAAGACAATACTTAATGAATACCCCAAATCAAACACTTTCATACTGCCAAAGAAGAAACACAGAGCTTTGAATCAGTTGTTTTTCTGAGTTATCTTAATGTGTCTGCTATAACAGAGGTATTTTGTAACATCTTTTCTGGGTTTGGAAAGAAAGCAACTAGGAGGACCTTTGTGAGGAGGATTTCTGTCACAAAATGCTTGATAAATTAGAATGATATACACAAATTTTATTGTGATTAACAGTGAAAAGCAGTATTAAAGGAAGCAACAAATGGCTTATAACATCTATCTACTATATATTTTAGAGAGTTTGTAAGTCCATCTGGTCAAGTACTCCTCCTAAATGGTAAGAGCTAGGACCATAAAATTTGGTATGCATCTTTCTCTTATCATAACTTAAAGGAAGGTCAGGGGTTGGTTGTGCAAGGACAATGGGATGTGTGTGGAATGTGACTGTTTCATATCAAACGAAAGGGAAGGGTGTGATAGGAGGGATAGTTATACTCATGTTGCCACAGTGGGGCAGCAAGCGCCCTAGTCCCAGGGTTGGCAGCATGACCCCCACGATCCTGGGGAACAGCTGCTGGCTGTGTGCAGCTCTGGGCTGACCCCAGGCCACCTTGCCATGTGGGCTCTGCTGCCCTGGGCTGACCCTGGGGAGACACCTGCGGGCAGCCTGCACAGGCTGTCCTGGTTGGCCCCAGCTCCAGGCAGTACTGGGTAATTCTTCTAGTATAGAATAATTATGAGATGAAGACATTCTTTTTACCTTATCCATGCTTGCCTGGTTCAGTCTCATGATAGATGCATGAGCCAGTCGGTCGTACACTGTTCTCAGAGCCTTTTTGGAATAGAGTTCCTGTGGTTTAAACAGTTCTTCCATAAACTTTTTATTGAACATGGTTGTGATGATATCATTCATAACTGTAAAGACAAAAGAACCCATCTGGTTGATTTTCTGTACTGACAGTCTTTGGCAATAGCTAATGCTCTATTCTGTTCCACATGGAGGACAGAGACAGATGTGCAAGGATTCATATGAACGATTATCTATGCAAACCACACAGAGCCACAGGGGGAAAATACTGGTATTCTATACCAGCAAAGCACTTCTAGTGTGGATGCAGCAGCTAAACCAGCAAAGCTGTCCTTTGCTACAGTGTAGTAAAACCACTTCCCACAACAGAAACAAACTATACTGGTCAAAGTGCAGTTCTGCCCATATAAATGCATCTACACTAGGAGTTTCCATTGGCAAGCTCTGTGGGTCAGGGATCACCCCTTTTTAACCCCTACAAATGACAGAACTGAGCTGGCAGAAGTCTACAATGTAGACAGAGCCATAGGCAACAGTTTTGTTTTCCTGATGGGAATATAACTTTTTTTGGTGTGCTGATTTTAAAGTCATGTCTATCACTTTACTTTTTAAATTTAAATTAGAAATGTCTGGTTCTGTGCATAGGCTGATATTGCCTCCTATGTCTATTTAGCTGTAATTCCGCTCCACAGGGGGAGAACTTTGTGGTTCTGAATTATTAGACTTTCACGGTATCATCTTAAAACAAATTATGGTCAATGGAATCTTTTTCTCCCTTTAGAAATGTAAGAAATCAATCTCTTTCCTCTTTTTAACAGAAGTCTATCAAAAGATTCAAGGTTCCTTGTCTGGAGTTTTTCTGTTGAACAGATCTGGACTTTTGGGTGTAAGGAAAGCATTTCTAACACGGGCCCCAATGGAAGTTACTGAGCTCTTCCACTGTAATTTTCATGAGCCCTTCACAAACATGTATTAAACTTCACTGCCTTATGAGGGGATTAGTACCACTTTATATATGTATACTGAGGCACTAAGCTGTTAAGTGGTTTACTCAAGAGTTGCAGTGACCAAGCAAAGAACAGAACCATGGAGTATTGACGCACAGGGCTTTGCTCTAGCAATCAGATTACACTGTCTTATTGAAAAGTCAGACAATGAGAAGAAAATTAGAAGTGGTACATGTGCATTCCACTGTCTTCAGCAATAAATTTGTCCCTAAACTCTGTATTGCACACTCTCACGCCCCAGTGTGGAAAATGCTAAATAAAAGCTATAGAGAGGTAGCCATGCTTAGTCTGTAACTTTAAAAATAACGAATAGTCCTGTGGCATCTTACAGACTAACAACTATATTATATCATAAGCTTTCGTGGCAACTAAGAACCCCTTCTCTATTAGATGAGTTGGAGTGGAAGTTACAGAATCCATATATATAACAGCAAAAGCAGTTACCTGTCAAATGTAAAATACAGGACTATGTAGCACTTTAAAGACTAACAAGATGGTTTATTAGATGATGAGCTTTCGTGGGCTATCACTGTCAAATGTAGGATTGTAATTGGATGATAAAATTCCTTTGTATAAGAATGGCTACTTTTAAATCCATTATTGAATGTCCATGGAGGTTAAAATGTCCCCTTGTCTGATGTGTGTCCATTTATCCTTTGTCACAGAGAATATCCCATTTGGCCAATATAAATGGCAGGGGGGAACTGCTGGCACTTGATGGCATATATATCACATAAGAGGATGTGCAGCTGTATGAGCTCCTGATGTTGTGGCTTACATGGTTAGAAGCCACTGTTCAGAACAGCTGGCAGTTCTCTCGGAGAAGGCTCCCCCACTCCCAGACCAATCAGGGATGCACGGATGTGCTCTGGCCCTGTCCCTTCCGCCTGAGGTCCCACCTTGTCTGAGGTGACCTAGGGCAACTTCAAAAATTATTGCTAACCTCGGATTTAAATGGTTGCCTTCTCCCTGCTGCCTACCTTTGGAACATAACTGTCCATAAAACATTTTATTTGTCAGTCCTATCCAGAAAAGTTTAGTTCACAGCAGTACAATAAATCTTAATTCAACATCCTTTAGGAATTAAGAAAATCCAATCCAATGTCAATAAGTATAAATCATTATGTATTTTATTTTGCAACTGGTAGACATGAAAAAAAATCAAACCATCTGCTCCTATGGCAATACTGACATGAATATTTTACAGCTATTTGCACATGTTGTACACTTTTTGTGCCCACCAAGATCCATTAAGGTCTTCTGCACCTGTCACCGATGCCTTAGGAAAAACAATGCCATTCAAACAAGTAGCAGACCAATCTGATTTAGAGTTGCAACACTGAAAATCTCTTTGTTTCACAATAGAATGCAATGCAGAATGGGACTTGTATATTAACCACACACCACTCCTTAATTTCTGCTATTAAAACCATTCATACTTGTGAAAGCAACAAATATTCAATGTAAAAAGGTCACAGCTGACCCCGGTATCATTTAAATAAATGTAACCATTGACAACATATTCCTGACAGTGAAATGTGGCATTAATTTCTTTGTAGGAACTAAAGAAAATAGCTTTGGATCAAGCAACGGGATCACAGTGTGTAGGTTCTCCCAGAGAGAACATGTTATCCATTTGAGTGTAGGAAAATAATTACAAAAAAAAGCAGAGGTGTGTCAGCACAGGGATAAGGAGACTCCAAGCAATGCAGCATAAAGACAACTAAGTACAGCAAGCAGGACCAGGGAAAGGGATTCAAGTGCAGACAGGAGACATCCCCACAAGAAGAATATGCTATGGATGAGAGAAAAGACAAAGGATTCACAGATGTTTTACATGGTCATGTCACATCATTTATGATGCACACATCTCCATTTCTAATTTAGTTTAACACCACAACATGGCTCACATGCATGACAGGAGGCGAATAACTTTCTGTTTGGATAAAGCTCATGCTTCCCAGATTACATTCAAGTCTGCCAAAGGAATAACCCAAGACCCAAACAGTTACACATTTTTATCTGCAACAAGTTTCCATTTAAAACAAAATGCAGGTACACAACTGCTGACAACCAAGGTTATAACTGATTGTAGGTGTGAACAACAAACATACACGTACGTGTTCACATCACAGTCTGCCAACTACTAATTATTGCTTCACACACCAGTCACATTTTACACAGCTCCAACAGCTTCTTTAACTACTCACTGTGAAAACATGAACAATTTTATATTAATGATAAATAACTGAGGTCAATGGAGTAGATAGGATGGGTGAAGCTTGAATCATCATGATATCAATCAACAACAGAATATTGCGATTTTGGACTGCTGACTCCTTGGGGATCATTGTTTTTAAGAGCCGCATCCAGCAATTGATACTCATGTTTTTACTGCATAGTCCTGACACGATGAAAGAATTAAAGCTTGAGCTACATGGAATCCACATTTGTGCTTTAACCATATAAATAAAAAAAGCAGGTGCTTTTATTCTCTGCATCCCATTTTCGAATGCGTTACAACAGAATGCAACAGAGCCTTTTGATAGGCTAGTACATTTGAAATGCTGTAAGAACATGTAACAAGGACATGCTCTCCACAAAAGCACATTATGGAGTCACAGGGAAGAACGGAAACAAACTCTAGGATATTCACACATTAATATGACTTGGACACTGAGATATCATAGTGATAAGCATCTTGGCTAAATGTATACAGAACCCTGAAGGCTTTATTCTGAAAACTGCTAATTGTAACTATTAAAAGGAAGCTGCTTAAAGAGATGTTGGGCCCAGGGAACTGGAGACTAATTAAGATTAGGAAAGGTAGGGGATTAGGGAATTGGGAATAATCTTACAAAAATACAGCTATGCAGAATACATGATCACTGCCTGCATTTTACACATGAATAATGCTCACAGAATTCTTGTAGTCATATGCTTGTATTTCTATAAGGTTAATCAACAAAGACATTCAGATTTGGCTAGAAAACTCTCTAGTGAAGATACCATCTATTGTTATACATTATCTGGATTATAATTAATTTTAAATAAGATACTTTTAAGTGTTGCATGATTATAAGATAATTATTGTTAAAGGACATTGGATTTATTTGTATTTTAGATCTAAAATTATTAACGTATCTTTTAAATAGAAAGTCTTGGTTGAAGAATCACTTGTTTGTGTTCTTGACAATTAACAGAACTACAGCACTGCAGCAACAGGGTTTGGAGTGTATATGTGGCATATGGGTTTGAAGTGCATATGTGCATATGGTTGTGCTGGTCTATTGCATGCAGCTAAAAGATTACAGTACCTCGTTTCCTGTCCACATCTGTCCATTCATCTACATGAAGCATATAAAACAAAAACATTGGTTCAAGTAGTAAGAACAATACTTGCAAGGAGATTAAAATAAAGAAATTGGAAAAATCTAGCTAATGGACTTTATTTTTCACATCAGCATTCAATGATTAACAAAAAGAGGCTGCCTGCCATTTTTACCTTTCACTCACAAACACCAGTGGTGAAATCCAGGCCCTTTTGAGGTCAAAGGCAAAAATCCTACTGACTTCACTAAAGCCAGAATTTTACCCCAAGCAAATGCTCAGCACTTTTTACATGAAGCTGGGAAAGCAAAGGGCTGATGTGTCTGGTTGTTTTAAGTACAACTATATTTATTACTCACAAATGAACAATATCGCATCAACAGTTCTAACTAATGATACCACAATATAACTGTAACCACATCTCAAACCTAAATAAAGCCCAACTCTTCTGGAACTCAAAATACAGATTCAGCAGTTCCAGTCCTATGTTCTCATTGAGATATATAAGAACTTGCTCTATTGAGTCACTAATTCACACCCGGTGTGTCATTATATTTACCAGTTTTTTTTACACTTACAGCGTTGCAGCTGCACCAGTGAAGAACCTGTAGCTCCAGTGAAAATGCTATTTATGCCAACAAGAGACAATCTCCTGTTAGCATAGTTACACTCAGAGGTGGTAGCTATGTAGTGGGAGAATGCCCCACGTCAACACAGTGCTGTCTACATTAGGAGTTAGTTTGGTATGACTATGTTGCTGAGGGGTGTGGATTTTCCAACCAAGCTGGGAGGGGTTGCAAGTACTTTGGAGGATAGGGTCAAAATTCAAAATGTTCTAGACAAACTAGATAAATGGTCTGAGGTAAACAGCATGATGTTTAATAAGGACAAATGCAAAGTGCTTCACTTAGGAAGGATCA